AAACTACAAAAGCAGTTCAAGAGCAGCAAGTGATTCCCTCTTTTCTTTTATTATTAGATTAACATTAATGAGGCAGCCTATACTGTAATGCACGGATCTAATATAATATTACAACATCAGATGTTTTTCCCCAACAGTTCGCCAAACGTTCTCTTCCCCAAACGTTCTCTTAAGGCATAACAGATTATGTTTGCGTGAATACTTAAATACTGTAATTCTGTGTATATTTATCGGGATCGCACGCACAGTTGGAAGCACCTTTATGCGTGCGCTTCGGATGACAGTCAGCACGAGAAGCGAGTGGAGAAAAGGTAGCTGTGACGAGTGGGGCGGGGCCGAGAGCCGTGGGAACGGAGCGAGGCCGGTGGAGTAAGTGATAATGCACGACACCTGCGCCACTCACCGGTCTCGAGTCCCACGGAGGAGCTCCGGAAGGATAAAAGGAGGAGTGACGACAGTGCAAGAGGAGAGAGGACCAGGCCTGGACTTTATTTTGTGTGTACTGAGTAAAATACTGAGTAAAAGCAAAGCGTCAGTGTCTGGGGGATTATATAAAGCACACTACCCAGGAGGTCATTTGAAACCGGTAAACTTCTGGAAAGTTCAAGGATCCAGTAAAGGAATGCATTGGTAATAAGTAATAAGTTTAAAACAGCGGTAGAAAACACGGATGATTTCATCGAGATGGCGGAGAGAATAGTGACTCGCGTCCAGTAGCATCGCAAGTCAGCCCCGGGCCCATATGCAAAAAAAAAATGTGTAGAGCCCCCCCCAAACGTTATGGGCTCCAACTCGGTTAACTTAACTTAGGCTATTGTTGATTTTTCTGAAGTAAATAATGTTATGCGACTATTCACAAGCTGTTTTATTTACGGTATAAATGCTTAGAAATAATATTTAACGTTTTCACGTCTATTCATCATTTGTAGCACGCAAGCCACCCAATAATCGCAATAAGCGTTGTGCTTTGTTACTTTCATTAAAACACGTCTCAGCCTTCTGTCAACTTTATGATAAAATACTATACAAACAAAAAATGTGTTTTAAATTTGTAGTGAGATAACTATATTCGCCTCAGTTCAAGCGGCTTGTGAATCAATGATATTTTCCTCTTTAATATTTGCAGCACGAAATAAACATGAATAAATATTGAATACATGTTGAAAACAATCTGAACAATTTAATACAAACGAATGTTTCATGAAATCGATCAGAGTTAAAAAAAAAATCAATAAGCAATTTATTGCTGTTTTTCATGTTAAATGTAAAGAATGACAGGTTGGATGCCACAGACTTTTTTTTGCGGAGTATAGGTGGAATTTTCACATTAACTTCACACAATATAACATGATTTTATTATCGTAATTTTGACTTTATTCTTAAAATATTATGACGTTAATCTTATTTAGTTATTTTTCAACGTGGCACTAAAATGCCACCATAGGCTATTTGTACTGCATGCAAACACAATCTTAGCACTGAAACAGCAACTGTGTAATGGGGAAGAGAGAGAGAAAAAAGACACGGGCTCGGGTCGGACTCAGGCCGAGAATTCTGATAAGCTGTCGGACAAGGGCCGGGCTCTATTCGTTCCCTCGTTTCAATTAAAAGTTCCCCCTCGGCTAGGCGGGCCCCCAAAATGCCCGGGCCCATATGCACCTGCATACCCTGCATACCCAGACGCTACGCCACTGCTCGCGTCCAGATGGCAGTAAATTATTATTTTCGGCGTGTATTTAGCTTAAACGCATGAGTGTTTTATAATGAATGTCGGCTGAAGGTGTTTTAGATTATGCGCTGGTCAGTGGTTTAGTTATTCTGAATGGAGTCCGATTAAGACAGCAGGTTTAGTGGTCTCTTGTCGTCTCCCATGTGGTCCTGTTTGGTATCGCAGCTTAGAGTACCGGCACTTCTATACTGCCACCTTTTGGCGCAGTGTTGTAACTTATAGAACAACTTTTGTTATGTCGAGATCACGAGATAATAAAGTCGTGATAACGAGAAAACAACTTTCATTATGTTGAGATCACAAGAAAATAAAGTCGTGATAACAAGAAAACAACTTATGTCGAGATCACGAGATAATTAGGTCGCGATCATGAGAAAACAAGAAAGAAAAATATTAATAATCCATGGCCTCTTAGTACTTTCTTATGAAACCCCCAGTCACGTCTGGATTTCAGACTGGATTTCATCTGCGAAATTTCGCAGAGCAAATGGTAAATGTGACCGCACATTAACACGCCATACATGGGTTTTATACATAACATATATAGCTGCCTTTATATTTTAGGAAGCTCCTCATTTTATAGAAGAATAGAAAAACAAAGAGGTGCTATGTGTTGAAGACACAAAGAACTAAATAGTTTGAAGTTTACAGATGTTATTATTACTTGCTATTATTATAGAACATGGGACAGCAATAAGCTTTATTGGATTCTTTATCCTGTTTTTAAGGATTATCTAGTAAGAGGATGTATTAGTAAAACAAGAACAAAATCTTTGTGAATAGCTGCCAGATTAAAAAACACCAGCACCTTGACGACTGTTCTTCTCTTGGGTAACTATTAGGTTTTAAGATTTGTTGCCAGAATGCTGGCTAGATGTGCCAGCAAAAGTAGATTGTACAAAGTTTTGAAAAAAGCTTACACAATCCAGACTACTCCAATATGAATCCGCTTGTTTGTGTGGCCAGAAAGCAAGGTGAAAAAGTCATCCAATCCTAGAAAGACAAGTCAGGTAAAATCCATGCTCAACTGGCCTTCTGGGTAATCTGTGCTGACAGGCTGGGCATCTGAGAAAACCCGGCAAGCTGACAGGTTGCCCATCCACCACTGTGTGGGGAACAACCACACTTGTCAAAGCATATAATGTGCAAAGCTCTTCACTTGAGGGCAGGGATATTTTCTGAGAGAGGAACACATGAAACTCTTAAGAGCAAAGATAAATGGTGTTACTTCATGAAAACGATTATTTTCATAACAGAAAATAACCTTTACTGTAGTTTGAATTATACATCTCAGATTTTCAAATCCCATGAGTCTCTTTGAAGCCGGAGCCAAAAATCATCACTTATCTGATGCCACAACATGCTGACCAGGGTCAGAGATGGCTGTCGAAAGGGTGGCAGAAAGCTCTTTGAGCGCCAAGACCTACAGACATCTGATGACGTTCATTTCACGGCTATAAGTGGCAAAGTGTTAGATCTTTGGCAAAGGGAGCCGCATCCTTTACAAACTGTAATTACGGAGCATGTGGCAGTGATTTGGATGGATAGCAGGTGGAGCAGGAGGACAGCCTGTCACCGATCTGTCAGCCAGTCACTGCCACACAGGGCTTGGCACCGGAAAACACAGATAATAGTCGACTTACGAGCGACAGAGGCAACATTCCCTGAAGAGGAGACATGTGAGAGATGGGGGCATGCATCAGTCTGAGGTGAATGTTTTTCAGAGAGTCACTGTGGGGTGAGGATTCAAATGAGGAGATGTGAGAAATGCTCTGTGGGTAATTGAGTGAAATAACCACATATGGATCATGAACCGCATGACGGATGAAATTAATGATTATGGAGTGAAAAAAAAACAATGACTCCAGTGGTATTAAAGCATACGTGTAATGCATGCATAAGAAAGCACCTTTAACAGTTTTAAAATAGTCTGTTTTATTTCATATACAAATTTCTTTACTGATATTTGGATGGGTGAACAAGTCCACAATAAGGATATAGAAAATGTTTGGTCATCATATGTGTAACTACATAAGGCATACAAAAGACAGCAGTCTACATGACAGCAGCAGAATATAGTACTGCTGGGGACTGGTATTATTATCCCCTACACGGCAATGAAAATGATTTAGTGTGTCTACTGCTATTTTCAGTACTCTGCATTATATATAGTGCTCATTCAAAGCATCACGTAGTCTTGAGGGGTTCACGCTTATATGCATCATGTAGTTACTCCGGACAGTTAAAACCTGACTGATCCAATAACATTGTTAGAGTAATAGCTGTAGAACGTAGTAGTCAGAAACACTTATGAACTGTGGTTGGAGATTTGTTTTAAGAAGAAAAAAGAAATGAGATAGATAGATAGATAGGTAGATAGATAGATAGATAGATAGATAGATAGATAGATAGATAGAAAAAGATTAAAGAAACTGTCGATGGTTCCTTAAATATCTTGTTTCAGTATTGCTGACCTTGTCGTATAACAGTAATAGTTAATATAATAACAATAATACAAAATGAGAAAGTGAAATTCGTAGATCATGAGCTGTGGTTTTAATTTCTTCCCTAAAATGAAAATCTATGATATTTTGATGCACTGTAATATATTGGAAGACTCGTACTGGGTATACAAAAATGACTTTTTCCACCACAACCAATAACTGTATCTATTGTGCAAACGCATAACAACTTTGTGCAAAATTGTGGAAAAGTGGCTCTTGTTTATAATAAAGCCTCGATATCAGCATTTGTAAATATAAAGTCCAAAAACATCTCAACCAACTGACACCAACACATAAAAGCATTACACAAAGTTCTCTATGTACACAAGTAATGCAACAGATACGTATTTCATATTAAAAACGCTTATTTTAGGAGTGCGCAGATACACATAAAATATATCACAAAAGCTTCTCACACGTAATCAAACTCAGTGGCCTAGTGTGTGACTGGTAAAAATGAAACATTCTCTGATCAAGTTAGCCATAGTTTCCTTTCCTTTGTTTTAACCTAACATGAATTTTAAGCTACATATAGTGAGTGTAAAGGTTGGCAGGTTCTGTGCCTCAAAGTGGTAAAAGACATGTTGTGCTATGCCTGAGACAATCTGTGCAAATGTTACTGTGAGCTTGTGAAAAGCGCATCACACCAGGTCCATGAGACATCTAGGGCGACACTGGGTTCTTCTGATACTCTGGGAAGATGGGGTCAAGTCTTCTCTGTAGGTTCAGACACTGCAGTGTGTTGAACTTGTGTCTAGCGGTGCTCTTGTTTCATCCAAATCTAGTTTAGAGCTTTTGGAAAACAGTGTCTTATGAGCAGTGTTGAGAACTCTGTTATGAGGTCACCAAGGAGTAGATCATACTGGAAGACAGAACAAACAGACATTACTGACATTGTGTGCAAAAAGTTATACTAAAATAAAAAACTAGAGTAAAATCTGAATAATTTTTCTGTTTCTAATGACTGTGTTGTTCCGAGTCACTAACAAATTACACAACATCTTGGGTGTGGGCCATATTCAAAGTTATTTTCATCTGTTTATTTGAAGGTTGCAAATTAGCTATTTAAAATGCCCATAGAAGAAACAGAAGTAGTTTAACGTCAAACATGCACTCATGATTTCAGTGAGTTATGATTAATTAAATCAGTCAAACGAATTTCAGAGTTTATGATTTATTTTAAAGACCAAAGTTGTATTAGAGATACATTGAAATTCGTAAATAACAATCCATTTTACATTATGAATTACAGAACAACCAAAAAAACAACTGGATTTCTATATTTTCTAAAGAAAATGAATGCTTTCTTGTGATAGACAGACAGACAGATGGAATTAATTTGAATAAATTTCAGAATATTTTATTAACTCCATTCCAAACATCACTCCCATCCCGTGCATCAACTTCTCCCTTTATGCATACTACTTTTCGATTCTATGAAATGAGCATAGGTTCAATCATTCTGTCAGATAACCGTTTTAATTAGTTCATTTCTTCCCAGCTAACAACAAACACAAAGATGCATTTTGTCCCCAAATTATCCAGCTGAAACCGCAGCATTCGTCCTCAGCTGGTGGAGGCATGGAAATACAAGGCGAGAGGCTTCAAAGCAGCTGACGCTATGGAAAATGACAGCTTCACCAGCTCGAGGATCACTCCGGGCAGGTTGTGTATGATATAGATTGTATTTATTTAGAATGCACTGCCATATGTTGATGTGTGTTGAATTTCTGTGCTGACTTCACACTAGGGGCCATGGATGTCATGCCAGAATGCTGTCCACGGGCATTAATACATAATAAGGGGTTGCCCTGATAAAAACCTCATAAGCAGTTCTTGGCTCGTCTTATTATCTTCAGTGTGTGGTGGTTGGAAAAGTAGTGGCGTGGATCCTTTTATATTCCTAATCTTTTCAAAAAGAAAGCAGATCTATTTATGTTCTTTGAAATTATATCACTGCTGCATATGAAGCATATATATTTAACTTAATCAGAGAATGTTGAGTGACTTGATTATATTCAGTGCACACAGCTAAAGGCTGGTCTCAAGTCTAAAGATGTTTTAATGGACAACTGCTGTATTATTAAGGACTGCGGCTTATCTGTGTCCTAAAAACATGTTTTTAGTGTTCGTGTTGAAAGTGGAAGATCAATGAAAAATGTATTTCAGCTATGATCCTAGATATGATCCTGATGGAGCCTGAGGCGAACAATGTTCCTCCTGCATTTGCAATCTTTGTGACAACTAGTGTGATGTTTGCCCAAATCTCTCTTCCGCTTCTATCAGAGTGGCACATTCCTTTCTTGAGTCATTAGGTTTGAATGGTGTTTAGAAAAAAGGAACGGCAAACCTACTATTGTAATTGGATGGGTGATGGCCTGGTGCGCTGATGTTGGATTTGCAATTGATTTGTTAGATTGATTAGTAAGAGGGAGAACAACATTGTGGTTATTACGAAGGGTTAGAGTACAAACTACGTTTGAAGATCAAGCCACAGGGGTTAAACTAGGCAAGGCAGGCAAATGAAAGCATTCATCAAATCAGACGTTATATAAGAATTTATAAAAAGGGTCAGTCTAATTAAGAAGTTGAGTTTTACTGAAAGTTAAGCTCAAGTTAAACATAATGTTGATTACTACAGAAAATAATTAAAACGTGTCCATTAGTAAAATAAAAAATAAAAATAAAAACTGTGACAGCATCCAGAGACTTTAAAGGGGGAAAGTGTGATGCTCATATTTTTAAGCACTATAAAATTCTTCCATAAAAACCTGTGTATAATTTGAGCAGTATTGTCTAAATCCTCATTTTGGTGAGACTAATGTTCTAGAAAGATAAACTTGTAGTTATTTGTCACCAAGATAATTCCTGTTAACAGTTAACAAACAGTTGATGGTAGCCATTACATAGTATGGGAAAAAAAAATACCATGGAAGTCTATATGGCTACGTCAACTGTTTGGTTATCCACATTCTTCAAAATATCTTCTTTTGTGTTTCAAAATATCTTCTTTTGGGTGAACTATCCCTTTAAGTTAAAATTGTACTGAACCATGAACATGCCTTTAAGAAAGTAGCAATAAAAAGCAAGCAAATAAGAGGAAGGGTCAAAGTTACAGAGACCATTGGTGGAGACCCTTGCAATATGATGTGAAGGGAAGTGAGACTGTGAATGTTTCACAATACATGGCACAATTAAAGGCCAGGTGAAGTTTAAGGTATGCAGGATGGTCAAAATCAAAAAATGTCATGACCACTGAGAACTCACATCTGTCACTCCTCAAAGAGTGGGAGTGTACGAAAGATGCTGTACAAAAAGGCTGTATTTGTCCTAGAATTTCAATTCCAGATGCAAATAGCTTTAAATCAACAATCACAACAATCACCTTTGATCTGACAAAAGGTCATAAGGCCTTTTCACTTGAAGGGTGAACCATTATAGAATATGTGCATATTAACATTTAATGTGACGTGATATAGTGTGGAGCAAAAAAGGAAATTCAGGAATTCTACCCAAAGGCGAGTTGTTGGCGCCATCCAAGTGCGCAGAGTCCTTGTCAGTTCAAATGCTTGTTTAAGTATACATCTCTGCTATGCTATAGGCTTAAGGCAGCTTATACTATAGCAAAGGCACACACTAAAAAGCATATTTGGCTGTAAAGATATAAAAATCAGTGAACACGTTACACAGAATCCCATTAGTAGGCAATTGAGTTACTCTCTCAATCTCTACTCACCAGTAGAGATAGTAGAAGAATGAGAGGATGAAGAAGGACATCTTGCACCAGGCTTCTTTTTGGCAGAATTTGAGTGTGTCTCCATTCATGACTGATGCTGGATCGTAGAGAAGCTCCTTAGTGTCTGTGGGGCTGTGAAAGTACCTGCCGAAAATGGGAAAAAAACACGAGCCGGGTAGCGCTTCTTGAAACATTATGTGCACCTTTGTATTAGATTTTTGTTTGCCTTTCATTCCATTTAATTTAATTTATTATTAATTTAATTTAATAATTTAATTAAATTTTTATCTAATGCAAAGTGTAGCTGGTCTAAGCCTCTTTATTCTAAATATTTCTGTCAATCTAGGCAGTCCTTGGAGATGGATGACTTAAATATAGTCCGTAATTGTCAGACAAGGAAAAACGTCACCCCTGGTGCAATAATTCTATTAGGGAAATCGAAAACAAGGAGTGGGGGCTTTAAGCGCATTAGGAGAAAAAACGTGAAAGAATTAGAGCAAAACAGAAGGAAGAACAGAGTGACAGTGCATTATAGCAGCATCACTGTGGAAAGAAAGGTAGATTTATTGCAAGAAAAGAAATAAATCTGGTAAGAAAAATTATTGATAGTGAGTTCAACCAGCTAATCAAACATAAAATCCACCATTTCTATTGTACTGGTTAAGTTCAGTGTTTCATCATTCTGCAAAAAAAAAAAATAGCAGAAGCACAGCAGAACTATCTCTCATATTCTGAGGATTGTGGCAGTAATTGACAACAGCTCTGAACATTCAATAACAAACCCCGAAGAAAGATTTAGAGCTCCACTGCAAAATGACTGAAACTCATTTTATCCCAGTTGTGATTTCCCTAGTTGTTTCACTGTGTGATGAAACATTCAGTCTGCTATTAATCATCTAGAAAAAATTCTAAGACCAATGCGCAGTGACAAGATTAGAAAGACACTGTGGCAAGGATCTTTAATATAGGAAAGTTAGGCATGGGATTGATCTGAACATTGATAATAGTGATGCTGTATCAAGAGGATCAGTCCTCACATAAAAACACTGATTCGCATGAAAATAATAAATTAATACTTATTATTATTATTTATTTTGAATGAAAATTAATATTAAGTTTCCACTTAATATAAAATCAAGGGCTATAGCAGGGACAGGTTTGATTTCTCAGGACACATGCATTAGTGAAATCTGACAGGTAGTAGGCACAGCTTGTTTAAGAGGAGTAAAGGCTGGTTCAGGTGCTCACCTCCATGTGTTGTAGAAGAGCAGAGGGATATTCAGGCCTACAGTAAGCCACTCCTGAGCACACAGGAACATGATACAGAAGAGCCCATGGATAGAGTACTCTGGAAGCACCAACTAAAGAGAACACAGATAAATAACTATGGGTACAACTGGGTAGAAGACAGTGCTCTGATTTAGGTCTGATTCTTGCAGCCAGATCTCTGGATTTATCTTTGATTCATTAATGGGATAGCTCGCCCAAAAATGAAATTCTGTCATTCTTTACTCACCCTCATGTCATTCCAAACTAAATTATTTTTTCTTGTTCTTGTTCTTCTTCCACTCTGTTTTTAAGAGTGACTAGGATATTTGGCCATGATTATATTATAGAGAATAGGCATAATATTCTGAAAAGCCCTAAGTCAGGGTAGCACCATATTTAATTTTTGACAGAAATGAAAACGAAGCTGTGAGGGATGGAAGTACAGTGCATTCAATGGATTGTACTGTTAACAACACCAATAATCCAGCTGATGAAATGTATTTCAGTAGACAAAAACTCAGAAAACTGTGAGTTAGTGAAAATTGTGATCTAGTACCTTTATACAATGTGTGCCATTGTAAAGACTGTAAGTCTGTCCCTCACAGCCTCATTTTCATCCACGTTAAATTCAATATGGCATCTAATCTAAATAAACGGTCTGTTGTCATTTTGGGTGAACTATCCCCTTAAGAAAGGACTGTATTTCATTCACATCTGTTGCTCTGGAGAAACTGTAAGAAATGCATTGGATTTCTCTTATATAAGAAAGAGGAATACAATTGTTTTATTCACATTTTCATCTTATGTGATCACTGGAATTACCATTGTGAGTTTTAGGACATGGTTTCTAGGTTATGTTAGTTCACCTTCAGCTGAGGAAGAACAGGACCATTTTTGGCAGCACTGCTGTGCCAGTTTGCTGTAAATGGACAAGAAAGGGGACTCTTAGGGCAGTTACTTTGGGCAGTACTTGATTTTTTTTTCTTTCTAAGTATGTCTAATACCCAAAATTTTTTCCCATTCACAGTGGGATTTCCTTTGTAACAAAATCCCAGCACTGACAAATGAATAAAAACACAATAGCCTCAGTTAACATTAAATAAACTGTATAGCAATCGGTCGCCAAGTACAGTATATATATATTTGCAGTATCCAGGACTTAAGGCCTGTGATATTGTAGCCATTAACTCCAGTTTATACCTGACACAGACGGAGGGCTGGCTTCAGTGAATCATTTATCATTTAAGACACAGCATCCTAAGGCACAAAACTTTCCTGTGGAGTCCTTTCACAGCAGGCTAAAGGAAATGTGGTTCAGGCCAACCTTTACGTAAGAGGGCTCATTAAAGTTTGACCTGTCCTAGCTATTTAACCTTATTGGCACAAAAAAAGCCCAAAATATTCCATCACCAATACAAAAATACCCTGGATATAAAAGGAAAATGTTAAATGCTTTAGAAAAAAATTTCTTGTCCTGAGTAATTCCTATCCGTGTGCCACATATCTTCATAACAAGAGAAATATTATACATAAATTTAAAATTGTACAGAACTTTAGCATAGATTCTAGCTATTACTCAAACATGGGAGAGTTTGTTGTTAGCATGTTGCTACACTAATCAGTATTCTAATTAGTATATCAGTTTCAATCTTGAACAGTTCTCTCAACTTGTCATCTTAGTTTTATTGTTTTGAGCTTACTGCAGTGCATTCTGGGATTGCATTCTGCATTAATTATGTTTGTAAAGCTGCTTCAGATTAGGCTTTACTTATCTTGTAAGGCAGCATAATAAAGTTGCCTATTTTGAAACCGCTTTTTTGCACCTATGATGCCTTCCAATTCTGCCACAGCATAGATTTTGGAACGGAGTAACTGAGGGCAGTGATGAATGCTGCATAATCAAGTAAATATGGACTGGCAGCTGGGTTAGGAAGGGCCCATCTGGAAGATCTGTTAGACTTCAGGGCTTCTGAACATCTGACTAACTTTAGGCACAATATTTTGTCCTTCATTTCAATGGCACGCATAAACAAAAACAGCCATTTTTGGGTGATTTTATGTGTGAAAATTTATGTGACAATAACTTTTAATCAGCAGGCCAGCTGCAACACTTAAGCCAACATTAAATATAAAACTGCATAAATAAAGCCATATTCTGTGATCAGTTTGAATGCAAAGTAAAGACATTGCTGTCTGTAATATTGCAGATGTTCTGTTAAAAATAAGATTAGAAATATATTGAGTATTTCCTGCATTTTGCTGACTCCGTACACTTGAAACCTCTGATGCACATATTTAACCATTCAGAAGGAGCTATAGTTTCTCCTACATCGCTGCTATAGCTATATGTTAATTATTATGAAGCTGTGGTCCAGGACCATTCAAACCGAAGTCCAGGAGCTTTGAGTGCTTTAAGGCTTTAAGTGTAACTTTTAAAGTTACCTTCTTATGGGAATCTAGGCTTTACTTATCTTGTAAGGCAGCATAATAAAGTTGCCTATTTTGAAACCGCTTTTTTGCACCTATGATGCCTTCCAATTCTGCCACAGCATAGATTTTGGAACGGAGTAACTGAGGGCAGTGATGAATGCTGCATAATCAAGTAAATATGGACTGGCAGCTGGGTTAGGAAGGGCCCATCTGGAAGATCTGTTAGACTTCAGGGCTTCTGAACATCTGACTAACTTTAGGCACAATATTTTGTCCTTCATTTCAATGGCACGCATAAACAAAAACAGCCATTTTTGGGTGATTTTATGTGTGAAAATTTATGTGACAATAACTTTTAATCAGCAGGCCAGCTGCAACACTTAAGCCAACATTAAATATAAAACTGCATAAATAAAGCCATATTCTGTGATCAGTTTGAATGCAAAGTAAAGACATTGCTGTCTGTAATATTGCAGATGTTCTGTTAAAAATAAGATTAGAAATATATTGAGTATTTCCTGCATTTTGCTGACTCCGTACACTTGAAACCTCTGATGCACATATTTAACCATTCAGAAGGAGCTATAGTTTCTCCTACATCGCTGCTATAGCTATATGTTAATTATTATGAAGCTGTGGTCGAGGACCATTCAAACCGAAGTCCAGGAGCTTTGAGTGCTTTAAGGCTTTAAGTGTAACTTTTAAAGTTGCCTTCTTATGGGAATCACAAGAGCCTGTTCAGTGTCATGTCACCTAATGAGAGGTCTACTGTGGCTGAGTGCTTTTGACTGTGGAGTATCTTTAACATTCTCCCTTCCTCACTCACTCTGTAACCCTCTGTTCCTATCAAACTCTGACCAGCCTGCCACTGCAGGTCTCTCCAATTAACACTACTTACTACTAATTACATGTCCCATCATTAGTGCAGAATGGAATGGGCACCAGACCTGTAGATATCGCTTTGATGAGGCAGTGTGTCTTGACAAGATTGGAGATTAAAAAGGAGTGGACAAGCGCTGTTGATAACTTTACTTTTTTGTGGTAGAGAACTGACCACCAGAATATAGGGGGTTGACATACAGTAACTATAAAAAAAATTCATATATGTTCAGGAACCATCACATTCACTTATTACAATGACAAATCTGGCTGCACCCTCAGATTAGCAGCAGTAAAAATGTTCAGCCGTTACAGATCAGAAGAGCCGCTAGTCTCCAATTACTGTCTTTCTCTTTCAGTAGCAGCCAATAATTAACTGCAGCAAAGAATTATACATATTTTCTCTTTAAAGAACACCTATCCCCATGACACTGGATAGCATATGAACTGGCTCTCTATTTAACTATTCAGACTGTGATTATAACCATTTTGAATATTGTATGGCTGTGTATGCCACAGCAGATCCACTCTTCCAGGCTTAAAAAATCCTTTGTTTTAGAATAAATCCGTATAATATTAAATAACTGAATAATTAATAATAAACATACATTTTTCATAAATATTTTTGTAGTACACTGAAAATCTGTGTAGAAACCAGTTTCACTCAAATTGCTAGTAAATATCTCACTTTTTTAAATTAAATGTGACATTTTGAAGTAGAAAGACTTATGAAAAGAATTCAAATTGTCATAGTAATGAATGTAAAATAGGTTACTTAACATGTAATGTTAGTCAAAAGTTTACATTAATAATATCTATTATCAACAAATAATATCTACTTTGTAGTAATACTATATGCTGTGCTTCTACAATCCTGCATTATCCTCTCTGTCAGAATAAAACAATACATAAAAAAATAAATGAATTAAATAATAAATAATAAACTTAATTGAAAAATATCCAATTTGCCAGTAATTAATCTGAAAGAGAATGGTTACTGAACATGTAATGTTAACAAAAAGTTATTGAAATATATGTTAGTACATTCTGCAACCCTGCAATATCCTTTCTTCATGCAATATACATTATAATAATGTGAATTCATTGAATAATCTAATTGGTAAAATATTCAGTGCAGTAAGAAACGTGACAAATGTAACAACAATCAGATGCTCAAAAAAAAATATTATGAACATGCAAACGTAAGTCAACATTGGATAGGAGAGAGTGATGTCAAGCTGGAAGGGCTACACTAATTGAAAGTTATAGTGGAAGATCGTGATTTTTTAGGGCCAGAGTTAATTATACCACAGAGCAGCAGCATCACTGCCACACCTCTGCTGAGAGCACATTGTCTCAGAGGCTGGTGACAGGCTAATAGGCCCCTGCTGCCCCCTACACACCCATGGCTCAGACCAGATACTGTCTGATTACCAGCCAGATGTTGCTATTTTTAAAAGCCACAAAGGAGATTGCTCTTTTCTCCAGCAGTGAGGGGCCGGCTACAAGTGACTTGATAACAAAGGTTTATTTTCGAATGGTTTTCTTTCTGAAAGAGTTTAGCATATACATCACAAGCTGATAAAATCTCAAGTTTCCATTTTTCATTGTACACAACCAATCTAGGCAGCTCATGCAAATTCATATGCGGGCTACGCCTCGGCAGCAGTAGTTTAGTCTCTGCACTGAACTGTCTGATGACGGCTGGGATGCTTTTGGCTGGGTAAGAGACTCAGAACAGTACAACAAAGCCCCCTCATCGTGCTCTGACTTGAGCCCTTTGATGGCAAATGGAGCTTTTCCTCCAGGCAGAGGCAGGATTTCTTACTGCGCCCCCAAGAATATCAGTGTAGGGTGTGAAAAAGAAAAATCACATTCCCTGCTCTAATGAGATAAGGATTGCTTGGAAAAGTCATAAGAGGAAGAGACTACATATGTTTGGGGTGAAACACAGCAGTCTACAAATATGAAATGAGGTTTGTTCTGACTTTTGCTTGAAAAAGTGCATCTGAATCTCTTAACGAGGCCTGTGTTGTCACCATAATAGAAATATTTTTTCTATGTGTGTGTGTTTAAAAATACACATATATAGATTTATTACTTATTTATTTTGCTGCTGTCAATAAGTACTGTTTGCAAGTAATCAATTAAAATGGGTTTTCTGACATTTTTGATGTAAAGGACTCCCAAGTATGATGATTTACTCGCAAGAGACCAAGACACTGCCTAAAATATAAAAGCAGCATTTATGTGTATTAAGTCATTTATACTGCATAAGAAAAACATTCTTAATGAAACAATGAAAATTATGTCATCATGCATGCATGCATTTTTAACGCATTAATTATGCCTTGTAATGCACTTTATGCATTATATGATAGCATGAATAATTTTAACCACAGTTATAATGCATTCTAATATGTATCTATTCAGTTTTTCAGTATAATGCCTTAAAATACATGACAAACAATGAATATGCAAATATTAAAATGTATTTTAACTTTGGTTAAAATTATTTCTGAAAAGATATAATGCATTACAATGACAATTATGAATACCTTCCTGATGCATTATACACAAAGGCTTCAAGTAAAGTGTTACCATATCCTCATAGCAGATTTAGAAGATTATGAGGGTGGTGAGTAAATGATGAAAGAATTTTCATTTTTGAATGAATCCTGTAAGCATGATATTAAAAGAAAAATTTAGCAATTCCATTTGGTGCAAATACATTGTTCAGCTATTACAAGGGTTTCACTGTGGTCCTCTGAGAGGATCCAACATCACAGATCTCAGACCCTGAGTTCAAAAAAGTCTTATCAGATGTTTTATGCTCTGTCATTTATTGAATTATGTGCATCAGCATGCACCCACAGCATCATTAAGATAGTTTCCAAAGAGATATGCATATCATACAGGTCTTTTATGAATGATTCTCTGCCTTTCAGTTCCACTTTGTCATTTCCATTTATCGCAAATTCTGTGCAAATGCCTTTGGTGATGAATGTAAGTGTGAAGTGGAATGATGAGAGGACAGAAACGTTTGTACTGCAACATCAAAAAGTAGCTTCTCGTTTGAAGAACAAACACACAGCGTTGGCAACCATAGGGGATTACGCCGCATTCCCCCAGTGGACGCTTCTGATTGGCTGCTGGAATATTGACCTTGACCTTCAGAGTTAGAGGTAAAAGCTTAGTTTAAGAGAAAGACAGGGTCAAAACAATGACGGTAAACTGCAGGGACAGAACTTCACTGCAAAATGAAACTATTATTATTCATAGAAACAAAGTGACAGAGCAGAACTGTTGAATTATGTGGTGATGATATCATTTATAATGTATTCAGAGCCATATTTTTTGGGGCACAAACACAAGGTAGATTTTTTTTAAAGAAACAATTTTTACTTAGGGTAACAACCTATGTTCAGCAGCTTAACAAATAATGTTTTTAATAAATAAAACTAATAAAACAAAAATACAACAAAAGTTTTATATTTATACTATCATTCAAAAACAACATTTTTATTTAGCAAAAGTGACAGTAAAGACATTTATTTATCATGTTACAAAAGATTTATTTTAAATAATTGTGGTTCTTTTGAACTTTAAATTCATCAAAGAAACCTGAAAAAAGTATCACAGCTTTCACAAAAATATTAGGCAGCAATGTTTACAACACTGATAATTATAAGAAATGTTTCTTGAACACCAAATAACTATATAACAATGATTTCTGAAGACTGGAGTAATGGCTGCTGAAAATTCATGTTTGCCATCAAAGGAATAAATTATATAAATAAATATATATTAAAATAAAAACAGTTAATTTATTATTAAATGTATATTTGATAATATTACTGTTACTGTATTTACAGTATACTGTATTTTTAATCAATAAATGCAGCCTTGGTGAGCATAAGAGACTTCTTTAAAAAACAAAAAACAAAATCTTTCTGACCCCTAACTGTGTGTGTGTGTGTGTTACAAACAAATGCACTCGATATGAATATGTATAAATTACTAGTGTGAGGTATCTGAATTATGGATCCTGAAAGGATGTGCTAGAAGTTGTCTAAAAATATGCTGGCACTTTGCAAGGAAGCTCTGCGTGACTCAGTATAAGTTTGTCTGACTGATCCTAAGTCAGTCAAACAAACCACCATTCCTTTCTTGTTATCTCCAGACGTTTTGGTGAATACACACACAGATGCCAAAAACTGCCATTCATGTTTGTTTGTCTAGTGGGGGAAAATAAATGATCTCATGCTATTCCTTTTGTCACTCTAGCGCTGAATACCAGTGAGTATAACTGAATGTCTCATTCTGGAAAGATGCACAATCCACAGATTCACTCAGCAATAAAATTGTCTCACTAACAAAAAACTCTGCTAGGTATATGTTTATTATTTGCTGAGTAAAGAGATGCCATCTGTTAGGCCTACCTGTTCAGAATGAAAATTCACTTTTGTTTATTTACTCTCTGGCTTGATTCTCACACATTATCACTGTGTTCATGTCAGTCAAAGCAAAGACACTGTGTCCCATTGAGAAGTGATAAGAGCCTTATGCTAATGATAACAACCAAGATAATTAATAATGATAATAAATGACAAACCACATGCCCTGTGTACATAAAGACCCCAACCGAGAAACAAAGAGGGAGGGCGGAAAACAGAGCTAGCTTTAAAACCATTAAATGGCTTTAAACGTAGCTTGTCCAATCACAATTTAAAGCTGTAAACCATTTAATAAATGGTGTGTCTGTAAAATTACAGGCAATTCAGCTCAAGCACATATGAAGCCCTTGTGAACACTGTTCGGATAAGTGTTTTTGTCAGGCAGTGTTTTCTTTTACATTTGCAGTCAGGTGAAATTGAGTGACAGCAGAAAGCTTTTCTGCAAGGTGCACATGCACACGGAGCAGCTGGGACTATAGAGAGCCTCATGCGACCAGACGTATTACTCATGAATGCGTTCTGCTGATGTTGGCACAATATATATGGAACATAACAGGTTCTGGCCCCCTGTAACAGTGCTTGGATTCAAATGTTCAAACACCCACAATGCGTTCAGTTTCACATTATAAAGGTGTGGGAAACACCTTATGATAATACCTTTGATTAATAAGTCATCATTTGCAAACTGAGACCACAAGTGAAAATGCTTCTATTTCTATTTAAAAAAAAAAAAAAACTCTAAATAATAAACTCAAACTCAAATAGTTTCAGCATAATTTTAGCAGATCATATCGTATCGTATCGTATAGTATACACAAAGAAAATGTATTTCCTTATGTGATAATGCCCAATATATTAAATTATTTAAAATATACAGAATATATTCTGTTAATATATTACAATATTTTGAATAATACATAAGGAATTGCCACTGTTCATATATTGAAATATTGAAACATATCTGACAATATATTTACTTATTTATTTTTGTATTTTATTTTATATATTGTAATTTTCTGATGTTAACATGACATCCACATTGCTACATCGTTATATATATAAATATATATTTATTTATATATTTATATTTAGCAGTATATAGCCATTTTTCCATGCACATATTGCAGTATACTGAAAAATATAAGCACTAGTTTCCCATACAGTATATATAATGCAATATAATATAATATTTATTATTATATGTATATTATTATATAATAATTTATTATTTTACTTTATTATTATATAATAAAGTTTACTATATATTATGATTATTTTAGACAAAAGGAAAATCTAAGTGTAAAATACAGCACATGTCCCCTCGAATGTTCAGTGAAGTGGTCGATCAATATGGGTTAAACTGTCAAATCCCCCCCACACACACACACAAATAAAGACAAACGTTACATACCTTTCTCAGCAGGCAGCAGATCCTCTCAATATTTCGCAGTCTTTCACGCTGTTAAGAGAAATAAATATCTGTTAAGTTTCCCATAACACCTAAAATGCCAGTCTCGAGGAAAAATCTAGTACGAAGGCCACATCCTTCAGCTGCTAAAAAGTTGATATGATGCATCAAAAAAAGCAGGAGTAGGGGGAGTAGATTTTAACTAGGCTTAAAAGTGTATATGCATTCATAGGTGTTTGTGGAACAGTGGTAATGGCTTTGATATGCACTGCTGCCTAAGGTTCTAGTCTTCCCCAGCTCCTGGCCCGTGTTCCCTTGCAGAATCAGAGCACTATACACTGGCAAGGACATCAAGGGACTTGCATTTAGAAATACAACTGCCAAGAGGTGGAAAAAAAACAGCAGGGAGATTGTTGAATGGCATGTAAAAATTGCATATGGTGATTACATCCAAACATGTACATTTTGGGGCCAGGAAAAGTAGCGTTACTCTCAAGGTACAATGTATTTTTATATATATAGTCCCAGATATAGTATAGTCTGTGTTTTAATCACATGTGTGCAGTGGATTAAATCTAATAAATCTAATTCAACAGAGATTTGAATGCAAATTCTGATGAGTCAAATCAGATTAGAGTTTGCATCCTGAATTTACTTTCTCTGCATGCAATTTTTGTCATATATGCACTATAGAATAATTTTACATATTCAAGGCACAAAAAGCAGCAGAACTCAATATGAGGCATGTATGGATATATGAAGAGTTCAGATGCAAAAGCCTCTAAGTGCCATTTGAAATTTTCTTCTAAAATGAGCATTTTTCTCAGGCTCCTATGTGTACGTTCAGTAATTTCACTTTAATGGCAATGAATAGGTTCTTTAATTGCCATTAAAGTGAAATAACTGAACATAAACATAGGAGCCTGACAAAAATGCTCATTTTAGAAGAACATTTCAAATGGCACTTAGAGCCTTATGCATCTGAACTCTTCATATGTTAAAGCACAAATAAATCTTACATGAGTAACACAGAAGAAATATGGCTGCACTATATGGCTGCCTAACAGAGAACTGTTCATATGTCACGTGGCAGGAGGAGTGATGCTGTTTTCTAACATGCACAAGTCTAAACATACATATTTGACTGCTATTTTTAAAATTCACATTAACTTAATTCAACTCAATACATTATTTACACTACTAGCCTGCACATGTAAATAATTAAATAATTTGTGCTGTTATTCACTAATCCACAGAACCACCCATGGTGACCACTACAACACTCCTACTCAGCAAGAAAAAACAACTTTAACATATATCCATACATGCCTCCTATTGAGTTCTGCTGCTTTTTGTGCCTCGAATATGTAAAATTATTCCATAGTACATATATGACAAAAATTGCATGCAGAGAAAGTAATTTCAGGATGCAAACTCTAATCTGATTTGAAGTAATTTCAGGAGGCAAAAAAAAAAAACAAAAAAAAAAACCCTAACCTGATTTGACTCAAGAATACTGTCTTTACCAGAAATGGCCTTGTTAGTCAGTTTAATTTAATTTAAGTCAGTTTGTTTAATATAATATAATGTTTCATTTATGATATAATAATTATTTTATTATATTACATGATAATATATTATACATTTGATTAATATATTTAAACAGTTTTTACTACAATTATCTTGCAGTATATTTATCAAAGATACAAATAATTCCACTAGCAAAAAGATGGCATTACGCTTGTTTGCTGAATTTGTGAAATATAATTGATATGCATCTTATTTTCCCAAAGTTTCCTCAGTGTATTTTTAAACAGTTTTTTCAAGATTATAATAAATATAATATAATATAATATAATATAATATAATATAATATAATTATTAAAAATGTATATGATATATTACTAATTAAAACTGTTTTACTACAGTTATCTTGCAATATATTTATCAAAGACACAAATAATTCCACTAGTAAAAAATGTGGCATTACGCTTGTTTGCTGAATTTGTGAAAAGTAATTGATATGCAGCTATTTTCCCAAAGTTTCCTCAGTGCATTTTTAAACAGTTTTTTCAAGGCTTTGATTGGCAACCTCCCACTCTCTTGTTCCAGCACACAGCTGTGTTTCAGAGATTTCACCAAACATCCATGAAAGTTACACTCAACTCCCTCATTATTTTTGGGCCGCACCTCATTTTAGTTCATCCAAATTTGCTTAAGACATTTTTTCACACCATTCTCAACCTCCTCAACAACAGCATGCACATATATTCCACTGGCAGCCATAGCGACTGGAGATAACTGCAGCAATATCAGCACTTTTAATTAGCAGGCAATTAGACTCAGCTCCCTTTGAAATATTCGTCAGCACAAATTCTGCTTGACAAGTGCTGGCATACAGTGTAAACAATATATTGCATATAGGACAAAGAGTCAATACAGCAGCCAGAACATTATGTTCTTGAGCTATGGAATCTGCAACATACATATGGGTAGTCCTTGACAGAGATACTAACGCAAACACATGCAGCAAAACTGAGTCTATCATCTCTCTAGAGCAAATAAAATTCAGCATATTATCTAACGATGGCATGAAAAGAGCATCAACAGATCTGATGAAAGCTAAATCTCTGAACAAGCTAACTATTTTGGTCACTTTAGACACTTGCCAAAATAGGCAGATGCCAATATAACAAAGAGTGAAAAATTTAAGGGGGTCTGAATACTTTCCGTACCCACTGTATATAAAATAAAATATGGCTTAGGATATATAAAATAGAGGTTAATTTGCAGACAGCTTTTGCTGACCACAATCTGTTTTAGAAACCAAAATTGTCAATCTATGCCAGTCTATGTCATGTAAAAATTGTTGTAACTTTTATAAAAATAACTTTTTGAATAAATTATTCCGGCTTGTTTAATGTAAAGTATGGGTCCTGAAACAAAACTGCGCATAAACTGCTTAGACTAGTCTTAAAAGTTAGTCATCGAATTTATTTCTGCAAGACACTTTTTGAAATTGGTTACATAAAAAAAGTAGATTGGTCTAATATAAATCCAAAAAGTAAGGCTGATTACCACTTGATTACTAATTAGTCAAACTAGTTCTTAAGACACAGTCTTAAAATGGTGACTATGTTTATGCAACTGGCCCCTGGTTAACAAAAATTGTGTATGTTAGGTGAGCTTTCTCTAACAATCTGTCAGACCCAAGCTGTGTTTTTTTAAAAATCCACTTCTGCTGTAAGTTTTGAATCACTCTTCATTTCTCTCTTCTAAATGATTCAGTTCAGCGTTTCAATGCCAGAGCAAAATGGTCAGACTTGCTGCTCAGCTCATGCAGCTAATTGAATGGTATGGAGAGTAACAGATGCCATTTGACCCCAAAGGGACCATCAGTATCCAATTCAAAGTGGGCCCTGAGGTGGGTCATGTGACCTCTACTAAGGCAGACGTGGTAGGTAATAACCATAGGTTCTGAATTAGACAATTAGCTCTTATTTTAGTAATGCTTCTGTAGCTCAACTGGTAAAGCTGGGCACAGTCAAAGTTATGGGTTTGATTCACTGAATGTTACTTGCGTCTCTACCAAAGTAAATCTAAAAAAAACTGAGCTAATGTGTTGGATTGTTCATATTGTGCATGCTGACAAACATCTGGATCATAAAACTCTTGCCGTCATGCAAGCAACATAACGATACCTCTAATTTAATGTTGTTTTACTTTGAAATCAGTCACATGCAAGTTAATGTCTGTCTAGAACATTAGCATGATAAAATATTAAAAGCTTGCGCGCATCAGGCAACGCAGCAGATACTAATTCCATCTAATGTGCTCGTAACATTAACATGAAAGATGCCTCGTTTCAACACATAAAGAAAACACATCAAGGATTATTAGAGAATCCTATAAAAGAATAGCATCAGAAGTGTTTAATTGCTGGAGAATTATGTCTTGAACGCCGTCACAGAATTAGCCGGGCAGTGGCAGTCAAGGGCAGTTAAATGTGACGGTTCTGCTAGCTCTTGCTCTCTGATTTATCAGACATATTAAAGTTTAAAATGTTTAAACCTCACTAAATTGTGTTAGATTTATGCTTAAAACAAGAAAAACACTATTTTCCAAACGGGGTAAGAAAAACTCAAGATGTATTCTGTGTTATCTAATGATAATATCTTTAGCAATTTTGTTTCGCAAGTAAGTATATCCTGTTTCAAGGATGTTTATTTAAATATTATTTAGATATTATTTACTGGAAGACAAGACAAAACTAGGGTTGCGAACGGAGTAATCATTTTTAATTGAATTATAATTTTCTGTTCTCAATTCATCTCAATTGCATTAAACATACATTAAAATCTGTAATAATAATTACACATTGATTCAACAAATGAATGTAGAATCAACATAAAGAAATTATAGTTTGCATAATATTTGTTTAATGGCATCTTTTTTACTATCAAGTACTATCAAGGCCGGTCTCACCCAATACCAGTACCAATATTGATATCAATACTGCTATTATATATATATGATAATTTATGCTTATAACCAGGGGAAAAACTATTTGCCAATGCGGTATGAAAAATAAACTTAATTCAAGATTCTCTATTCTGTCTTATCATATGCTAATATCTGTTTACTATCAAGTAATATCAAGGCCAGTCTCACAGTTATTTATACCAAGTAGCACTAGTGATACCTATACTGCCATTTTTCTTTTTTTTTTTTTAGAATTTATTGTTTACATCCATTCAAACATGGCCAATCACAGAGTACATGCGGACTGCCCTGTTTTGACACAAACAACATAAGCATAATAAAACATTAGGGTACCATCAGAAATTGAAAAACAATGCTGCATTAATTGTGTAAATTATTGTGTCTATATTAATTGATAAATTAATTCTTAGCCCTAAAACTACTGATAAAAAAATAATTTTGCTGTCTGTTTATGAAACACACGTTAATGTGTGGCATTAACCATGTGGCATTAACATGCCTGAGGGACTGAACACAGTGACTGCAGCACTACTGTGCAGACTAGAGTCATAAGCGGAGCCCCAATGAGAATCACAGAATGAAGTCCTGACTTCCTCCCAAGCTGAAGACTGACAGAAGACTCCAATTAGCCAGGCAGGGTGTGAGATTGACTTGACTGGGTGGTGAGATCAGCTAGGAGGCCATCAATCTTTTAGCACCCCCACCTTCCACATCCTCTATAGTTCCCTCCAGTCTCACAGAGGGGTGGGTGACATATAGAGCATGTATCTCTTACTTTGACACTTTGCTGGGAAGACAGTAATAAATTATGGCTACCGAAGTTTTGTGCGGAGCAGATACGTGACTCAGATATTTTGTCAGTGCCACTTTCTGAGTGAGACTTTCCGACACAAAATAGCCTGTGCCTCTTGCTTTGATTTCTGTCACTATGTAGCCTGGCGAGGTATCAAGCACACACATGTAAATTATTCTGCAATCCTGGCATCTAGAATGACAATGTTGTTCTAAACTTTTGGATAACAGTTGGTGTATCCAAAAAGCTGGAAAAGTTGCCTTAGTTTGAATTAATTAGTGAGATTAAAGCTGCCAGGGCCTCCAGCAGAGGAAAGACAACACATAGACAGCTGCTCTATGGCTTATTCATGCAATGCTGCGGATGGCAGGAAATGTTTCAGAGTTTGGGGTAGGCAACACACCTGGTGCCTGCAAAAGATCAGAGGGCTTGCTTAAATATATTCCCACCATAAACAAATAAACACACACACACACGCATACAAACTCATTCATTTCCATGGAAGTGCAGGAAAGGGCAATGAATCAAATGATCAAGTCCATTATTTGCATGACTTACCGCGTGGAGTGGATTGCCTTGATCGATCGGCACCTTGAAGTCTGCCTGAAGCTCATCAAAGGCTGTTATCTGAAAACACAAAGTAAAAAAAGGGAGATCATTATCTGAAGAGTTCAGATGCAAAAGCCTCTAAGTACGTATGACGTTTTTCTTTAAAATTAGCATTTCTTTCTGGCTACTATGTATAGTTCCCTCCAGTCTGTATATATCAATGCTCTCTCAATTCTGTAGGCGACACGAGCAGTAAAAATGTTTGGTTTTGACTGCTTTTCTGCTTGGCAGTCAGATAAGTGTGTGAGGTTTAACCGCTACATAATCAGAAAAAAATGCATTACATACACGTTTTAAATCTGGCCATCCTTTAATAATCGCATTTAAATTTGCACCACAAAAGAGGGATCATTGAACCATAGAAGCTACACAAGTGACATATAAATAACTGAAGGCTTTTTCTAAATGTTGATGAACCATACAATACACTTAAAATTGTTTCTTTTAAAATGGCCAGGTTTAAACCTGACAGCAGCATATGAATCTTAATCATAGTTGTAAGAAATTGTTCCTGCATATGTTACATGCCTTCTATAAAGAAAATCAACAAACAATGTAACATTTGCACATTGCATCCATGTGGAAACATTGCTGTTTTGTTCCCTATGTGACATCAGTTTACCCATCTGAGGATTACGTTGTATTGAAAAAAGCTGAGCTGACTGGAGAACGGTACTTTATATAAATATACTTGTTAATGCCGTCATCCGCCGTGACGTCCCGTTCAGCTATTGGACTGATTTCACATGTGATTCAGAGCGTGGGTCGCAGAAGGCGTTCCCCTAGCGTTTTCGACGCAGCTCGAGTTCCTGAAGAGGAACAATAATTGTTGCTCAGTAAAATGAGTCTTTAATTTTTTTAATGATTAGAAGTGATTTCCTCAAACATTCTCATATTTTTCATGATTATAACACATTGTGTTTTCATCGTGAGTCATGATAAATGACTTGTAGAAGCAAGCTTTTGTTTACACTATCGGTTAGGTTAAAGTAGGGTTTAGTGTAGGTGGTGCATTATTTTCCAATGCAATAGAGCATTAACCTGTTTTTGTGAACATAGACGCAACTGAAAATCTAGTCTGTATAGCAAAGATGTTTTATTCTAGTGAAAAGGACTGTGGTTCATATACTGACATTATTCAAGTCATGTTAGCATGTGCAAGCCTGTTTAACACAGTACCCCTTGTAACTTAATCAAGTTGCCCTCCGATGTTTAACAAGAGCTCTTTGAAGTACAGTAGCTTGCGGAATTCCTGAATTAAATGTGCCACAATTAGGACAACCACTATACATCTCAATAATCCATTCAAGCTTCCACAGACGAACGCACCACTGCATTCACAGATAATCTGTTAAATACTGTTCTAAACTGTGCATCTTTGCACTAATGTGTTGGTTTCCGCTGGCTGTGAAAGTGGACTTGAAACATCTGCTGAGGGAGCTTTTGACTCTCAGTGTTAGTTAAGCTAATGTGGGGATCATTTCCCCTCAGATGCAGAATAACACACAAGGGGAAATATGCAAATAGGCATCCCTTTGAAAAGGGCGACAGATAGATTCTGCTGTGCTCATAATCTGAGATAAAGAAAGATAGACTTAACAGTGCTTGAAAACATTTGCTACTTTTGCAAATCTCAATATTGAGAGAGTGCTGTGAGATTTCAAGGATTTTGCTAACTTTCATCACTAAACTTGCAGGTAGATATTGTAATTACACCATTCTGGGGCAAAAAGGCAAAAATATTACGCTATAGCGTCCAAAGGTTTGGGGTCAGTAAAACTTTTCAATTAGGTTCATTAGTTAACATGAACTAAGCATGAACAATACTTCTACAGCGTTTATTAATCTTAGATTATGTTCATTTCAACATTTACTAATGCATTGTTAAAATCAAAAGTTGTGCTTGTTAACATTAGTTAACATGAACTAACAATGAATGACTGTATTTTCATTAACTCACATTAACAACGATGAATAAATACTGTAATAATTGTACTGTTCATTGTTTGTTCATGTTAGTTAATACATTAACATTAACTAATGGAACCTTACTGTAAAGTGTTACAGATGTCTTTTATGCTTACCAATGCTGCATTTACTTGATCAAAAATAGAGTAAATAAACATAAAATCAGTAATATTATGAAATATAATTACCATTTAAAATAACTGTTTTCTAGTTTAATATATTTTAAAATGCAATTTATACCTGAAAGCTGAATTTTCACCAGTCATTATTCCAGTTTTCATTGTGGAATCGGTTACTTGAACCAGTGCTCAAGAAACATTATTATTATCAAGTTGTGCATCCTAATATTTTTGTGGTACATTTGTTCAGGATTCTTTGACAAATAGAATCAATCGATCAATTTACTGTGTCCTTGCAATATATATATATATATATATATTACTAACCCAAAACTTTTGCTGACAATAAATAAATCAAATATTATATAATAGTAGATGCTTTGCCAGTGTCTTTGTGGAGGGCTCTTGAAAGCATGAAATGTGCTTTCATAGGATATTGTCCCTGTCTGCTGCTTTTCACACCACAGCTCAAGATCCCTTGGGATTGTGCGCATTTGTGTGGTGCCATCAGCCAATAAGTACTGTCAGCTTGATAATTGTATATATAAATAATAATTGATGTGTGTTATTAAAAACAAATTAATTTACAACACTTTAGGATGTTGACTGAAGGGCACTAATCAACTACAGTTCTGCTGATATTCAGAATTTCCCAATGTCCCGGCACTCAATAATCAAGATTTTATATATATATATAAAAAAGATCCTTTTTAAAGTGGGTGCTGCTCTTTTTGATATGTCTGGGTGACATGCTGTTTTCCAGAATGGTTTAAAAGGACAATGAGGAAGCTGTCTCATAATCCATACTCTATATTCAGTCTATTCAGTGCAAAAAAAACCCAACAACATAAAAACGTACTGTACACTATATGTAACACCATGCTGAACCTACACTCAAAACCTAAAATGTATTCAATTTGCTGACGTGAAAGGGGGTCAACGTGTCAGGATTTTCCCATTGTGAGCAGATCGAATTAAGTCTATTAAAGCTTCAAAAGCGGAAACCGCTGAGGACAGCATTTCTGCCTTCCTCACACAATAACTGACAAATACAAGGAACTTCTTTTAAAATAACAAAAATATTGGAAATAGATTGAGTTGAATGATGTCTTACTAAAAGGTCTGGGTCAAATGTGATGTCCTCATAATTACGCCTTATTTAACCCTTGAGGCTATAATGTTTGTTGCTATGCAAAAGCAAGCCTAGGGCAAACGACTGTGCTGACCCAAATCTAGAGCAGTCTTGTAGTGCTGTGAATGTGAGCGAGTGCTTTAATGCAGCTGTCCTCAAGGAGAAAAAAAAAAGACAGTGTTACACCTTGCATAAAGTGCACAGACATAAAGGACAGCATAACATCAAAACAGGTCAGGCACAAACTGCTGCCAGAAAATAACACTAACAGTGGCTCGTACATTTGAACTGTAATGGGGTTTAATGCAGGTATGCATTTCCTGAAATGGATAAAAAGGATCTGAAACAACCCACAAAGGTGTTTTGGCCACCAGAGAGGAGGGAAAACCAAAAAGGTCTGCAAAAGACTTCCCTGACACAAGCTGGTGCCACCAAGTCAGGATATACGCCAATGCTGTCACCCAAGTCTCTCTATCAATTTACACTCAAATGATAATCAGTGACTTCGTTTAGTGATGTAAGACATGCCAGAGACATTCATAATATCAAGCAGGCTTTGATCTGGTGATGAACAGTTTGGTCTGATGCAGCAACCTCTGCTCTAACACATGCCATCCTGCAGCAGTATATTTTCACAAAGCACGTCAAAGATGCAAACACTTACATGCCAGATCGCGAAGAAGATGAGAGAAGCACAGAGGACAAGGGAAAGCATATAGCAAAAGGCAGCGAAAGTGAACATAATTGAGAGGAAACTGGAAGGAAAATCTCCAAGAGAGAAGACGGTGCTCGAGCCAAACTGGACTGAATGAATGAATGGAAGCAGTTACGGGGCACGCGAGAGGGAGAGCATCGTGTTCTTCATCAAAATATTTGCAACAATGTGTTGCAAACCTCGGCTCCAGTTCAGTGCAGTCGCTTTGCCATATTCACGAATCAATAAAAAAAAAAGTCCAGTTGGCGTGTCGATTTTGCGAGAGTTGCAGCACTGTTGCGAAGTCCCTGCGAGATCAAGGCATTTGTGGACGGTTAAGCAAATGATTCATTAACATTGTCCCGTATGGTGTCGTCGGCAGTGATAGTCCATTAAAGATGGAGACTGTGCGCGGTGACGACTTTGGAAATGCAGAACTTTGAGTTAATGCACTAACACACGGCCCTGGCGATCAGTTCACCTTCTCAAACAGAAGGCGCAAGAATAAATGCCAGCTAACAGGTGGATTTAAAGAGCTCTCTCTCTCTCTCTGTGGCTCTCTCTCAAATCAGACACTGGGTCAAAGCATGTCCCACAACATTACCTGTCATAAACAGCGACATTTACACTTTGGAATTTAGTTAGATGAAAATAAATACAAATGTACCATTTCATTTAATCACAATATTACATTATCACTCACTACCGCTAAAACCAGTTGTCCTCAAACCATAACTCACGTATTTCATATAGATTGCATTATAAACAGAAATAAATGGCCAATGGTCTATGTTTTAAGAAATCACATCTAGCTATGTCCTGACAAAAAGAAAAGAGGACCATTTTAAAAATATTCCTCTTTTATAAGTTTTCACAGCTATAAATAACTCATATATTTATAAAATTAGTTAACATCAAAGTCAGCCCTCATCCTGACAGGCCACTTTCCATATTTAATCTGCATTGAGTTCAGAAACATCGCTCTGGCTCTGGTAATTATATATATA